ATTTACAGCCATTGTTGTTTACGTTTGTTCTTGGCTACTTCACATGTCCAAATGAATGTGCGTGGAAGTGGTGAGGTCATAGCAGGCAAAGAATTCTCACCTATTTCTTCAGACAGCTGTGAAACACCCCCTGCCGCGCAGCGTATCTGTTCTGTTCCACTCTGGAGGCAGTTTTCACCCCCCTGAAACATGTAAACAAAAGGCCAATCCGATACCCAACTTTATTGCATTACTGGTGCAGTGTCCTCGTGTAAACAGCCTCTAAACTTTTGAAAGAATGGTAAAAATGTTCTTTTTACACAGTTTTTACAGTTTACTCACCTATCCTCCTCACCTGGTAGGTAATTGCAGTACAATTTCACTTAAGTTGAAAGACTTAAGCTGAATCGTTTCTAAATAGGATCAGTCAGTCAGGCCCATGGTCAAACAGACACGTGCTCCAGGCCCAGTCCGTGTGCGCATGTGCATGTCTGCACAAGCATCAGCTGGGTCCTCTCGGCTGTTGTAAAGGTGAGGCTGTACAGTAATAGTAGCGGATGAGGCAAGGGATGCGAATAGTGTGTGAATGGACTCAGCGCTACACACTCACGCACGCGCACGCACACACACACGCGCACACACACACACACACACACACACACACACACACCTACACACACACACACACACACACACACACACACACACACACACACACACACACACACACACACACACACACACGCACACGCAGACATACATACACACACACATTCCCCCACAGCCCTGGAGCTTACCTCATTAGTGTGAGGCGAGCCTGGCCTGACTGCGCTCTCCTCTTCTGTGATGAAATATGAGGCGCGCAGTGCGAACATCCAGGCCCGGCTCCCAGAGGCCAAACCAAATCAACACAAGTTAGGCACATGTGGCATACAGTAAGGGGATGTTATATTTTTAAGAGTGCCCTGCATGAGTTGGAAACGTGCTGAAGTGAGGATTGCGGATCAGCGCCCGGAGCGAGAGCTTTTATCAGTCTCTTCTGGGACTGTGCCGTGCGCCATCGCCTCAGTGCTCCTGTCTTCACTCACTGCCCTCGTCTCACCGACTGTTATCGTCGCACTGTCGCCTCTTATATATGTTTTAAATAATTTCCTCTTGACTTGTGGACAGTATGCCACGCAGCGAGCCTACCCGACCTCACACATACATATTGTTTATAGGCTACATGTTGTAAATAATAGTTACCAATGTTATAGTGGCGTACAAATTCATAATAAATGTGAACCACAACTGAAACTGACTTATTTCCCTTCGATGGGTTGTCAAAGTCCGCTCCCGCCTGAAATATTTGGTGTCTTTGACGATGTCTCCCTCCAGTGGATACAAGAATTTCCTGCACGGTATAATAAGAAAGGGTGGGGTCGCCTATTGACTGACTTCAACAAGCACATGCAAAATATTGTTTTATTTGTAAAGAAAGAGTTAGAATGAATTATTAGAAAGTGGCATCAACTCTAACCATAACTCATATAAATATTCGTGGTGTTACGGACGAAAAAACAGCAACAAAAATGACATATTGCATTTTATGTATTTATTTACACACGTTTTCCACAGACATTTTGAAGTGCTGCCACTTTTGGACATGAACACATAGTAACACAGTGGAAATTGTTCCTACAAACCACAAGTAATACTGACTGAATCTAACTTGCACTGATCAAAGTTTTATCAAGCAACAACGTGATGCCCAAAGGTATAACACAGAATATGTTGTAGCCTAAAGTTTTCGACGAAAGAAAGATCCCTTAAAATAGTGTGTTATTGCAGCGTTACCTATAGTACAATAGTATATGAATGTATCACTCAAAAATGTCACTAAAAGGTCCTCTAAGACATTTAAGAGCTTTTGCTGGTGGCATACAACTGCTGTAAAGACAATAACGACTGAAAAAGAGAGTCCTCATTCTAAACACCAGAATGTACCTGAAGCTCAGTAATGCTGCAGAATGCAACTGACAGCGATGTGTCCAACATAACGCTCAAGAAGGAGCCTGAGGAGAGAATAGTCTACAAAGTAAAAAGCCGTACTGCACTGGGGGTTTGTCTCCTTTTGCCACAATCACTTGACTGGAGACATCTTTTTGTTTTAAAAGTCGGAACATGCCAAAGATTCTTAGGAGGTGTGAAATGAAGCTTTGAGAATGAGAGAAATTCAGCAAATACCTCTCACTCCATGTGTGGAGTGAGAGGACAAGTGCCCAAAAAATAACAATTGTAAACCGCTTTGTGACTCTGGTCTGTGAAAGGCGGTATATAAATAAAGCTTACTTACTTACAATCAATCAAACTGGCAATAATGGCAGTAATGGGCTCGATATGTGTGTGGCTGCTTTCACCTCTGCTTCTGGACGGCACGTCTGCATCGACCAGTTTCTGGTGATTTCAATATGAAATTACCAACTAAACCCAATTTGCCATGTATGTCAATGAAAAATATAAATGTATGTATTTTTAAAAAGTTGTTTCAAAAGAGGAACATTTTGTTATCAAACTACAAGGCTGTGTATCGTGATGACTGCTGCAAAACATACATTGTGATTATTTTGAGGTATTGAAGTCCAACATAGTAATTGAAATAATGTCAAGCCTACACAGAGCCATCAAAATAGTGAATACACGCTTCCATCAAGAGTTTCAAACCACAAGAGCCCAATCCGTGACAGTGATCTGAAGTCCTGTCCACATGCCGCATACTGTATAAAGCAAACAAAGGTCATGTAAGTAACCTAAGTGTGCGCTCTTGGCATTAAAACACCAACACACTACCAACATGAGGTATACTGGTATGCATGCATCAGTTTAAACAATATACACAAAGGGTTCCAGTCCAAATACCCTGATGTGTTTTAGAGAACCTGCTTAAACATTGAGGAGACCAGGGCCACTGCAGAGACCTGGTGACCTCAACCCCATTCACTGGAAATGAATCTCTTTAAATGTACTATTACAGCACTTCTATTGTTACCAGTAGTTCACAACAGTTAACGTGGTAAGCATTACTGGGAGCTTACAGTGTTATGTTCAGCTAACATCAAAATCTATTCACAAATAGTACAAGATTTGGCCATCACTTGGTTTTCTGAGCGACCTTGCAGGTGTTCTCTGATTCAGTCCCATCTCTGCACAGCCTACATTCTGAGTTTAAGTTTTCTGCTGCTCGTTGGTCACACAACTCACTGACCCAGAGAGGTATGTTTGACAAAGTTATTTAACTGGAATGTTTCAGACAGACAGTCTCATCGCAGAAAAAAACAAAACAGAACCTTGGTCAAACGTGTAGAGTTGGAGCACATGTATAGTACAACATTTCAGCAATGAACAACTGAATAACAATACAGGTTTATAGTTATGCTATTGTGGCACATCTCTACAGTTGACCCAGGATCAGAAGACATTCACTTTTGTCTAGAATTGCTACTGTTAAAAAAAGAGATCTCAATAGATAATACATAACAAGGCTGGAAAGGCTTGAGGTATCATGCAGTCTGTTTGACAGTTACAAATACAATAGAAACAATGTTCTGTACATCTACCAAGGAACCATTTACTGTTAAGGGTGATCTCCAAGGTTGTACTGCAGGATGTAAAGGAGAGCTACCTGAGAGCACGAGACATATAGTCAAAGTAAACTCACTCTCTTATTACTGGTGTCATCACTGACATTGTGTCATCATATTGTCATAGTAATACTGCTGAGTGTGTTAGTGAAATGATCGAAACCAGTTGGTCACTTTGGCCAGTGTGTGTTCTTCTGCACAGTTTAATCCACAAAACAATACTGCAAAGATCTAAGAGGAAGCTGGGATGCATTAAAGCGACGGTTCATTCTTGTTTTACAAAGAACAAGAAAAATACAGTCAGTGTCGGATGGTGATCACCAGAGGCCAATATAATCTGAAAATGAACCTTTGAAAAAGATGCTGGTTACACATGACCAGTAAACCCCTACAGACAACGTTCTGGGAAAAAAAGAGGTAGTGTTGTTGATAAGGAGTAGGGATGCACCCGCTTTGTCCTGCACGATCCAGGAGAACCTCCCAGCACCAACATTTTGACAATGTCCCAACAGTTTAACTAAGGTTTAACAGATTTAACTTTTGTACATGGCACAGTTAGAATGTCCTTTTTATACAGTTGTGATTTTGAGGGGGTGGTGCATCCCTAAATGGAAGCCACTATAAAACTATAGAAAGAGGTCGGAAAACAAATCTAATTCAACGGCCCGATACCGCCACAAACATAATACTGTTTATTTGTAACAAAAATATCTTGCATTTTAGAAATTGACTTTTGACTGTCCCTAGCTCTTGATAATCCATCATTGGCACCTGGACAGGAACAACTGTGTTCCTATATTCAAATACGTCCTCATGGCACATTTAGCAGAGCATGTCTTTGTATATCTGTATATAATAACAAAAAAATACCTACAACAATGCACCTAAAACAATTAGGCACCTGAGACTCATTCACTCCACGTAATCAATCTGTTTTAATAGCCTCAAGTCTTGAAATTATGATTCAAGAGGCAATTTACAAGTTGTGATATGTGACCCTGAAACCAGAAGGAACTGCTCTACACAATCCTTGGGGAACCAGTATCTGTGCCACATCCACAGCTAAGCTCTCTGAGTGTGCAATTGTAATTCTCTCCTCAACAACAAGAGCCTGTTCGAGAGCCCATTGCATTTGTCGACATTCTACTCCTGAGTGAGTCACATGGAACACTGAGGGAATACTCCAGTCTACTTTCATCTGCTTACATTAGTGTGAAGAAAGTGTCGTGTCAGCACTCATTCAGAACACTGCACCACTGGTCTATGGACTGAGGCACATGGCAGATTAGGTTAAAATCCACATACCTGTTGAATAAAGATGAAGAATTACGTGAAAAAATAAACCTGCTATACCATTGTAGAATAGAGATGAGACAGGAAGGTGTGGCCTGAAATGCCAGACTATGGGCACAAGTACGTATGGACAGCTGAGGTAGAGTGGACCAGTCCCGAGCTCACAAATGGGGTAGAAGTCAAGCCCACAGAGGCAGCCTTGCTTGCAGTGCTGGCACAGTGTCTGCTCTCCCCATTGTCCCGATGCTCTGTCAGCACAGAGCACACAGTTTGAGGTGAGTGGAAGCCATTGGTGAGAGCCGTACCCCGCTGCAGCTCCAAGTCTGTCTCCATCTCTCTTCCTATTGCCTCTTGCTCCCCGTTGTGGTAACATTCCGGCTTAATTGAAGGAAGACTTGAGGGGCTTTGGACCACTTTTTGTTCCTGTGAAGGCTTTTGCTCTGTAGATAGGCTGCCCAGGCTTAAAGGCGAGTGTGCGCCGTCTGATAATGACACAAGTCTGGGGATGCTGCTGCTGGACTCCTCTCTCTTACTTCCCTCCTCTCGCTTTACTCCTGCAGGGTCGGAGAGCTCTGAGTGTACGATGACCTCTGCCTCCACCTGATTATTGCACACTGACGCACACAAATCTGCTGTGTCCTGCAAATAGAACAACACTGATGAAAATGTGAAGAGTGTAGTGCTGAAAATCAGCTTGTTGAGGATTTTGCAAGTAAACAAAGTTTTAATCCATGTAAGTGAGATGTGAGGTGCATTTCTTTACCGTGCCATCTGTATTCTTTAGCAAGGTAGGGGCTCCATTAACTAATGTTGCAGCGTCTGTGAGAGTGTCTCTGTATGTCGTGATTCTGTTGGCCCAGTGATGACTGACAGACCCATTCCAAGCCTAGGAAATAAACATATGACATAATATTTTTCTATGAAACACATATTCATTGTGGATGGCTGAATAGCAGGTGCTAACCCTGTTCTCCAAGGGAGAGCTGTCCCCCCCACCCCCTGAGTGAGTAGTCGACATGAGGCGCTGCTCCTCTGGGGCCTCTGCCAGTGGATGACCACACTCCTGGCTGCCTGAGGGCATCAGTGTCTCCAGCTCATGGCTGTAGCTGCACTCTGGCACATTGGATGGGAGATGGCAGCCAGCGCCTCTTCTGGGCTGAGGAGTAGCAGCTGTGGAATCCAGGCCTGCAGATAGCTCCCTGAATAGAAGAGGAGGGGTAAAAAAAAGCGTTGCTAATAATTCAAAATGGAAATTTTATTTGGAGAGAATGGTACAAGCACTACTCAGTGTCAGCACCTGGACTTGATGTTACGGAAGCTGAAGCAGATGCAGAGGAGGATACAGATAAGTCCCAGACACACGCCAACAATGATTCCTGTCACTGTCGCAATGTCTAACTCTGGTAGAATACCTAGGAACAAGAACACAACAATAATAATGATTATTAGAAATATACTTATTCATGTGCTACATTATTTTGCTGTTAAAATAATCACATTTCTTGTAGATTTCAGCTATTTCTAAAGTCTCAAAGACTTAATGGAAAATATCAGAAAGAGACCTCCTACTTGGTAATTGAAATGATCACAAGAAAATGCACCATCCAAATAAAGCAAAAGCAATATAATATAAATATATTACAGTGATAACCATAAAATAAAGTGCTTACTATATGGTACATTGAGACCTTTCACAGGAGAATAAGGTCCAGGGCCCATTTCAGTCGACGCCCCCAATTTAAAAAAGTATTGTGTCCCACTGGTCAAACCGCGAATCGCCACACTGGTTGTGGTACCTACACATAAATCAGTTAAGACAAATATGGGCGATAAGTATAATGTGCTTTTAAATCAAATAGCTTTAAAAATATGACGGTGAATGTTTCGTAACATGACTTGCAAAAATATTCTTACCATCCTGAGAAACAGAGTTCCACGTGTACTCAGGCTGGCTCATGTTGATGCTGTACAGTATTGTGTAGCTGACGATAATACCATTTGGTTCCAGAGGGGGGCGCCAGCTCACCAACACAGAGGACGTGTCGAGTGCATTCAGCTGCAGTTCCTCTGGAGGAGAGGAAGGCCCTGGAGGAGGAGGACTGGGTCAGTAATTGGAGACCCTTAAATGAGCCACACAGCTGTCAGAGTACAATATGTTTCAATGAGAGAAGTGTGTAACGCCATCTGTGCTGGGGCCTGGTGCTGGGGCCTGGTGCTGAGGTGGTGCTGAGGTGGTGGGCAGATAGGGGGCTCAGGTGAGGGCATGTGGCTGTGGAGAGCTGAAGAACATGATGGTGTGACCGCTGATAATATCATTAAAAGTGGACCACCCAGAATCATGGTCACAACTTTTCAGCAGCAGTGTTAAAGTGATTGTCTGGAGTTTTTCAGAAAAAAAGAGAGAGAGGTACATGATTTGAAAAAAACAACCCAAGCTCCCTCCCCCTTCTTTTCTGATTGGTCTACACCTACGTGTCCGTAAAAATCAATCAACACATTTAAATGTTAATCAGAGAACACATTATACATATACATTATTAATACACATGCACGGAGGTTTTCAGAATGATCTGTTAACGTTTTCATGACATAAAAAATGTTTTAATGCACAAAAAAAGCGACCACGGAAAACTCGGAAGTAGCTATTAACATTAATTGAACATTATAGGACACATCTGCAGAGGATCTGATTATGGATATAGGTTCAGTATATAAATGATTATGGATATAGGTTCAGTATATAAATGATTATGGATATAGGTTCAGTATATACATAAGTAACTCAGCGCGGATGTTCAGAATTCTTTGTTCTGTTTTCATGTAGTTCCAGAGCCTAATGGAGGCTTGATTCGGAGGCTCCGTGAAAACAAACAACTGAGCATGAGCGCAGTTACGAGCATCAGCGCTGATGATTGACAGCCCTTGGCATGACTCGATTAGTTAACGTGGACGGCATCGTGGATTCTGAGCTATAGCTAAGAGAAGGTAAGGCTGGACTTACCTACAATATTAGAACTCATAACATGACTTATTTTATATCAATATTTAAGGCCAGGAGGTCAATATAATACAATTCTTAAATTTTAAAGAACTTTAAAGAAGAATTCAAGAACACAATACTGAATACCAAGCCTGACTGCTGTGTGTGCTCAAACTACTCAAACTGAATTCATTTTTGTATTGCATTAAATCACAACAGAAGTTACCTCGGAGGACTTTACAAAGTTGTAGATTCACAGACAATAGATTTGATAAACCGAACCGTTCAAACACAGGAAATGCTGTTATGGTGTGGATTTTTGTCTCTTCGTATTTGTATTTATAAAGTCACTTTACTGCCCATCATACGTCACTTTACTTCACTGTACTGCTGTCACCTTACATTGTGTGCACCATGTGCACTTGTATATTGTAAATAGTAACTGTAACTCTATTTAAATGTAAATTTATTCCTGTTATTATTTTTTTTTTTTTTATTATCTCTCTCTGACTGTTGCACTGAGCCAAAGCAATTTCCAAGTCTGTGACTTCCTGTTACTTACGTGGTAATAAAAATTATTCTGATTCTGATTTTAGTTGTACTTCCTGTCCTGTTCCCCTGTGTTGATTGTCCGCCCCGCCCTGATGTGTTTCTGATGTGTCTGTGTCTATGTGTACCTGTGTTCCTCTCCCCTTGGTGCTGGTCCATTGCTTATTGTTATTTATTGTTATTTATCAAAATTAAATCATTATTATTTTTGCATTCCTGCATTATGGATCCTTCCTTTCATTTCACCATCACCACCTCATTGTTGATTTGAAGCGTGAGAAAATGTGCTTGTGAGCACAAATTCATTCAGACTTTCTTTTTAGTAGACTCTTCATCATACTCTCCTGTATCTTGTCATAATTTGATGAAATGTCTGTAAGGCACATTGAAATGCACTTCAATGTCAGCAATAGTGTTCTGAATAAAAACAAAAGCAACACTGATGATCTAGATTAGAGTGGTGCGTCTCACAAGTGGAAATAAGCAACCCCACGTGAAGACAATAAATAATTATTCTGGTTTTATGTTAAATTGTGTGTACTTATTGCCAAGGATTAATATATTTTGGATATACAATAGAGCAGCATTGAGGTGATAACTTTCAAATTAGCAAATAACCGTTTTACTCGGAAGTAAAAAGAATGACATAAATGGTTAACAGCCCTGGACACACACACACACACACACACACAAACACACAAACGTACTGTACATACACAACCTCACACAATATATAAAGATACTTTCCTGGGGATTCCTCTTAAGAAGTATTAATTCCGCTGGATTCATGAACTGGTACTTTCAGAACAATACAGAAGGGTGGGCTTACTATCAGGCAGGGTGGTCTCCTCCACAGTGCTGCTGAACGGCCCGGCCACATCCACTCCATTGGACTGTACCGCCACTTCGTATCGAGTGAAGGGCTTCAGGTCCGCCAGCAGAATCTCCTGCACAGAACTACAAGAACAGAACTGCTGTTGAGTATTCAACACACCTCAGAATCTACACAATAACATCCATACTTTACCCACTGGGATATTATCATGATTCTGAGCCTGGACAAAAGGGTTGAGTCAAAACGTGCACCACTATGATAATTGACAGTGATTAATTTTAGGAAGATGCATTTTTATACTTGGTGGGAAAATGTCAAACAGTCGAAAACGTCAAATAGAAAACGTTACACATGGTTTTCCTCCCCACCTCAATTTTTCTGTAAAACAGCTGATTGAGACATAGTCTGTTTCAGCTGAAGCAGATTATGATCTCTTTTATGTATTATATACTGCATTTCTGCACTTTTATTGTTTTGCATATCTTGTTTTTCTGTGTTGTATGTATCCCCACTTGTGCTTTCTCTGCAAAAGATGTTCCTCACGGATAAATAAAGTGTTTTGAATATGACTTAGTTTTTTGTTGTTATAGAGTATTACTATATTGTTACTATGGGGCCACAGTGGCTCAGTTGGTAGAGCATTGGTCTTCAGGAGCAGAGCAGCCCTCCTCCTGTGGACCCACCACCTGCAGCGGGATCAGTGATGGTGATATGTGAATTGGGTAGCAGCTCTGATTGCCACCTCCTGACCCAGAAACGGATAAAGGGGGTGGAAATGAACGATTGTTTAATACTATACTGCAAACAGTACACATGTAACGACTGAGTGCATCTACTACTTTAGCAGAGGATAAGCTGAAAACTGATAATAACTGACCTGGTGTGGTAGGAGACCAGTGAAGCGTTGGTGGTCCCGAAAGGGCTGCACCTCACAGTGTAGTTGATGATGCGAACGTTACTGAAGCGTGGTTTCTCCCAGTGCAGCCAGATGGAGGTGGAGCTGTTGGCCATAGCCTGGATGATACTTGGGGGAAGAGGAGGAGGTCGAGCCGGGGGAACACCCAGAGGAGGCCAAGGTGCTTTGATGAACACCAACAGGTTAATGACATGGATTTACTGATTTGTTTGGAAACATACATAATAGATTCAAAATATTTTCCTTGCTAAAGAAAGGAGGTTTAGGAGGATGTTATCAGTTTGCTTAACTCTGGAGAACAATTGATTGATCAGCTTAAATGTCTTGACCAATGGCTGTTTCAGTTTTGTGAATTAATGCAAGATGACTGATATTGTAATGTTGAGCTCTACTAACACAAATCTACTTACTCCTTGTCTGAGCCTTGTCCGTGCGGCCCTTCCACACTGCTGCTGCTCCGTCGGTCTGCTTGGCAAAAGCCCACACCCTCACCTCATAATGACGGTCAGGCACTGGACACACAATGATCAAGTAAGGAGTTACTAATGACCTGCACAAGGACTGAAGAACCAGCACTGCTAATGCCACTTTTTATTGTAAATACATGTTATTTAATCCTGCAAATACTATATTTTTAACCCTGATATGTTGCACACTTCTGTCTTTTTGCACAATCTATGTGATTATATCTATTCAAAATGTTCCATAACATTTATCTTATCTTATCTCAACTCTAACTGGACAGATCTGTTTCAAAAGATGTAAATGTATTGGAAACATCATCGACTTTTTGCTCCAAGTGAACCAGAATTGGTCCAGTTAACGTGTGCCCCGGGCCATATAGCCTTAATGAGTAAAATAATACAATTGGAATTAAATGTATGTAAGTGACAATATCAAAGGGGACAAAACTAATTTCACATAAAAAAACTGGCAAACCAAATAAGGGCCTCATTCTGCTATCTGTTTTCAAGTAGAAATTAGAATAACATGTACTTTAAAATGAAATAATGACATACTGTTCTTCTCAAGGTTTATGTTTTCCTCCTGAGTATGTCTGTTTGATTCTACTCCCACTGAAGTTTTCAAAGTAGAGTTTTTGCGACGTACCCAGGCCAGTGAGAAGGTGGTATCTGGCCCTCTTGCGAAGCCTGATGGTGTGCATCTGAAGCGGCCTGTGACCATTGGGGGCATCATCTGAATCCACTTCTTGACATGACAACTTATAGCCTGAGACCAACGTGTGATTTGGCGACGGGTGCCATGTGACGTTAAGTGAACTGACTTTGACCCTGACTTTCAGCTCCGTTGGCGCAAAAATGACTGGAACAGAATGCATGCAAAATCAGTCATGTTTCTCTCAAGGGGTGAATCCGCCTCAAAACCATCAATCACTTTTAGATACACAGCCCTGGGCATTTTAGTGTATTAAAATAGATGAGTAGCAACAGATGTAAAATATTCTCTCCCTTACCCAAGCTCTGGTCACTTTGGTTGTAATTGGCAAGGGTTTGGTGCTGGGCCCATTCTGATGGCACTCCGAATCCAATGCCTGTTCCAGCTGCTATCCTGAGCCTGTATTTCTGGTTGGGTTGTAAGTCTTTCAGAGTAAATTGGGTCTCATTACCGCCCACTTCGACAGAGAAGATTTTGTCCACTGTGGGAAAACAAATCATAATGCACACTATGCACTTTCCATGATGCTCTATAAATAAATATGGTAGTTGTTTTATTCTCTAGCGCAACATGTTCGACTGCAAAATGTATGGGAACTATGATCATCTATCTATTTTTGCTCACTTTGGTCCATGACGCTGTATTCAATGTGGTAGCGGGTAACGGCCCCCCTTCTGTGCTGGGTAGACAACGGCTGCCACATGAGCCTGATGTTTGTTGGTGAAGTGCTGGCAATAGACAGCTTGGGTGGAGCACTTGGCACTGCAACATAATCAATACAATGAGATGACTTAATTAGTAAAGGTAGTGCATGAGGATGTTTATATACAATTGAAATCCTGCCTTTTGAGTACCACCATTTCAAAACCAAATGAAAAGCAATCTTTTTTTTGGTTAGAATTAGAGCTAAATCAGATGTCAACCTATTTTGATTACACTTTTATGTGACTACAAACTCAATGGAGGGTAAACATGTGGAATAAAATCAGTGGTCTCAAAATTAATTTAGCTGGGGGCCACGCAAGGTCGAGTCTGGGCTTTTTGGGATACAGTATATTCATCGATGGTGTGTGTGTGTGTGTGTGTGCAAATATTATTAACTGACCATTGATGCACATATTTATATAAATGATACACCACTAAAATGGCACACATTATTTAACTTTGAACCCGCGGTTTAGCACCTGGTTTGATAATTACACCCCAACGTAAACAAATGAGTCATGTTTTGGTCCTGCTGAACCATAATTCTCAAAAAGGGAGCAGAATGTTGTTTTTGATAGAGCCACCTCATTAGCCTTCTGCAAGACTAATTTTAGAAATACGAAGCGCAAATACACCATCTCACCATCTTCCATCATCTCCACAGTGACAGGTACTGAAGGTGGACTTGCACCCATGGGTGAGTAGGCCACCACAAAAAAGGTGTAGGCAGTGTGAGGAAGGAGCTCTCTGAAGTAATACTCAGTAGTGTCGTTGTTCATTGCAAACTGGTACTCCACATTGTCGGAACCTGAAAAGTATAAATAATTAATGAAACTGTAGTGGTAACAATAACATGGCATGTTGTGTATGTAATGAATAAAATAAAACTACTGATCCAGCATAATAAATACCATCTTAAAAGCTGTCCACATCGACCCCAGCCCCTTTCAGACATTCCTGTATATCCATAAGAGCGCCACTGGTCATGACTTTTGACTGATTACTCACACATTTCTGAGGATAGCCGAGGGGTCTTTTTATTGACTAAATAAGTGATAAGAATTAGGAGCATAGCAGACCTCCAGCTCCTTGGCAGTGCACAGAGTAACCAATGATCTGGTCGGAGTTGTACTCTGGTTTCTCCCAGGTGAGGAGGGCAGTGGTGCTGGAGTGAGGAGAGACCAGGAGGTGGCGTGGGGGGCTGGGCAGACCCTCTCGCACTATTACGGTGAGCTTGGCGGTGGCGCAGGCCGTGCCCAGGCCATTGTCTGCGATGCACTGGTAGAAGCCTGCATCCTCCAGGGCCAGCTGGTTAATGAGCAGTACCCCAGGACTCTGGATCTTCATGCGCCTGGCAGGCTGCAGGGGCTGGCCGTTCTTCAGCCACCGCAGCACTGGGGCTGGCTCTCCAGAACTGTTGCACACAAATCTTGCTGTGTTTCCTCTGGACAGGGACACTGACTCTGGGGGCTGCAGAATCACTGGATCAGCTGAGGATAAACAAGATTACAGTATATCATTTTATTTAATGATGTTGTGATGTTATGTGTTTATTTTGTGTAACCTGTAGATATGTATATAAAGAAACACCAGACCCTTAACACTAGGACCGCCGTGCTCTTAACATACCTTGCACCGCCCCCTGCGGTCAGTTGACCGCTATGTATTTTGCGCTGATACAGCCTTTTGCCAAATTGATTGTTCACTAAACCAGAACTTGATGTTGCAAGGAAATCGTGATCATAATGAAACTGTGTAAATTATTTGTCTAAATATGCTAAGTAATTGTAATTCCAGCCGAAATAAAAAAAAATTACAAAGACTTTTCTGGCTAGATTTATTTTGTAACTTTGCAAACACGTAAAAGGTCGGTCACTAAATGTTAAATTTGACTCAGTAACAATATGTAAATTCAAACAATATAAATTATAGTTTAGAAAAGCACGGGACCATAACGTCTTCGCGCTGCTATATGCGTCTACTTCTTACGTCATCTCCAGACTGTTTTCTCTTTCCAGCCGAAATCACCGTGGGAAATATTATCTAGATAATAATAATAGTATTCGTATTGACACAAGATCATCAGCTAGGCTACCACCGTCAATGTACAATCTTCAATTTTACACGGGACACGATATATTTGTATTTATTTGAGACAAGCAGTGCTCTTTATGATCAGAACAAAATTATAATCATTGCCTTGCAGTGCGCGCTGTGCAGAATAACACACAGTGTTATCTGAATGAAATAAGAAAGATATCCTTATTGATATGATGAGAGCCGCTTCTGCCACAGTCGCTCTCCTCCTGCAGTGTCCGCGGGTGACGAGAGGCCTCACAGCGCTCCATCTGCACTCTGCCTTGATAGTTCATCTAATTGTTCTATTTTATTGCAATATTGTATTCTGCTTTAGTGCCTTCTTCTATGTATAAATATAAGAATGTAATTGATGATGAATGAAAAGGCAGAATGGAGCGACAGGCGCACACAGCACCTGCGTATGGCTGGCATTACGCGGGTCATGTGCGTTATTGCTTCTGGACTTGTTACAACACTGCTGTCCGTGCCGTGAATGCACTACGGGTTTACGTTCAGATTTAGAATATTATAGGTGTTCTCCCCGCTGTGACATCTCACCTCCGTCAGACTGTTCTCATTCAATGTCTTGAAGCACTGTCAGGGCTGTACTTGCAGCTCTATTCATGTTGTACTCCTCTCAATTCAAAACTCGTTCTCTCTCCCAAATAATAAAAAAAACCTCAAGTCCCTTTAGAGTCTAATGACAACATATTGATACATTTGTATAAGGCACGAAAAACCCCTGGGAAAGGTTACTATGACAACAGTCGCCCCTGCGCCATGTATCCCTATGGGGCAGCAGAAAGGGCTGTGGTTTAGAAAAGTTAAAATGCGTGTAAATCTTGTTTTCTTTACTTTTTCCAAAAACAAAACACACCAAAATATAAACAACAAGTACCCAGTAAAAGTCATAATATTTCAACTTCTGGCGTTTTGTTTTGAATACACTAATTAGCATATTAAAGTGAGTGACGGTCAGTTGACCGCTAGGGGCGCTCCTAGTGTTAACTATGTAGCGCTACTATCTCATACAGTCGTACAAAAGAGAAAAGGTAAATCAAAGCAAATAATGAAAAAAAAACTGCATATTGTTAAATGGGGAAAGATTGTGGCACCAAATGTTTTTTTAAACTTGAAAAGTTTGTTGGCAGACAACAGAGTGAATGAACACTGGTGTTACCTGGCACATGCAGCTGGGCGGTGGCGATCACAAACTCTCTGGTCTTGGGCTTGTTCGCCCTGCAGACATAAACCCCGGCGTGATGACGTCTTGTGTCCCTGATCACCAAGTTCGTTGCCAGGACAACCACATCAGTGGAAATAGGCTTTCCATCTGATCAAAGAGTAAACAGTAGACAGTCTAGGGTGATACAATAATGATGGAATAAAAGAGTCTGGCTTTCAGCTTCCACACAAACACAATGAAAAGAAAGGAGGGCGACAGAAGAATGCTAGATGTAATTAGGGTGGGAGGTGAATAAATAAGTTAAGACGTCCTGTGCATTAGCCAACCATGATGCAAACTCTCAAACCGTTTAGTATCTGTATAATCTGAGTATATATCTATCTATAATCTAAGTGTATTGTATTTTTTTCTACTATAATAAAGACGTCGAATTTATCAAATAATGTTCATACTGCTGCTCATAGACTTATTTTTAAAGAGCTCACAAATATTTTTCGTTGACAAATCAAAACTGCCAGACTGAAAATTGTGAACTCTTAGCTGTAATATTATGGACTACCAACAGGTGGCTCTTCAGCTTGCGAGTTCATCAAGTTTATCCTGTACTTTTGAATTTGAGAATAAAAACAAAATACAAATCAATGGTAAAAAATAAGAAATCATATTGAATTGAGAGAAAGTTTAAGTCTGCAGCCACTGCACCTTGTCTGCTCCAGGAGACCAGGGGCTTGGGCTGGCCTTGTGCCATGCACTCCATCACGGCTGTGTGACCCAGAGCTACAGTCGCATTCTGAGGCGCCGTTACAATTACCACGCTGTTCAAGGCTTCATCAGAGCCTGCAACAACAAAGCACACAATCAGACTGAGCCACTTCAACACAAGTGATGACATTTCTGAAGGTTTGACACACTATGGATATGTTACCCTTTGTTTTGGACCTTTTGAATCAGGCAAAAAAGTGAATGAAAGGTGAAAGAAAAAAGTGCATGGCATTGCATTTGTTGTTGCTGAAACTCATTCCTGAAAAAAATACGTAGAAGTTTAGGTTGATATAAAAGTGAAAACTATTTAATCCCAGTGAACCCTGGACCTTTTCCAAACACCAACTGGAAAAGATGCTCAAGCAGCCTCAGAGCAGCAGCTCTACTCCGAGCCACGCCAAGCTCCACATCCGCAACTGGAATCTTGAATGATAAAGTACATGAATAAAGCCCACATACTTTGTTGGACTTAAATAGCAGTTCAAAAAAGGGAAAAGCAGGCCACTATAATCTCCACATTCTAGTACTGGCTGCAAATATCCACACAGAAGGCATGACATTAAATAACCCCTCATAACCCACACCCAAAAGGTGCTGTACTGGAGCTGAGCTTCTCCTGTATTCAATTATATTAATCTTCTCTATTAACACAACTGAGTGAATGTATACTCTAGGTACTGTATGTATATAATTTGTGTGAATAAGGGTGAATAGTTGCATGTATTATGTTACTTCTGTACTCACTTGTAAATCTATTCTTATGTAGTTAAAGGTTTGGTTTAATTTGATTCATTGAACAACAACAAAAAATACAATACAATTCAGCAAAAGAGTAAAAGCCACCAACTAAAAGGGAACATGAGACAGGATAGTAATGAGTCAGTGCATTTCTACAGACCAGGGTCACCCAAAGCGCTTTACAATGTTCAGAGAGTTCAGATATAGTTCCATTTTCTCCACACTGTGATGACAGAAGCGAGAGTCCGAACACACTGGTGCCTCAAAACCCCCAACCAACAGCACCCATTCACTCACTCAATACAGTCAGACCTATTGTTCAGGTTTTTAGTGATAGGGGAAACTGGAGCACCCAGAAGAAACTTATGCAGACACAGGAAGAACATTCAAACTCCACTCAGAAAGGCTCTGTTCCGACCGGAATTCGAACCCAGGATCTTCATGCAGAGAAACGAGAGTGCCGCACCCAGTTTTCCCCAACTTTTGCTGTATGTGTTGTAACAGTAATCTAGATATCTTGCAGATGTCTTTGTTTCTTAATCGCTGGAGTCCTAAACCTGTGTATAGCTTCCTCAGGTGTTCTTTGTTCACACAAGAAGCATGCGTGGTGTTTTGTAAAACGGTGATATTGAGAAGAATACAGAATCTAATTGTAGATTTGCTGAAAACAAACAACTGTTTCTTGTTGCCCTTCACCTGTGGAGACGGTGAGCCGGGCCTCGTGGCTCGTGTCTCTCCCGGCCGAGTTGGACACGACGCATCGATAAGTGGCTTCATCCTCCTCGCTCACCTCAACGATCTGAAGGACTCCATTTGGAAGAGAAATGAACCTGAACAATTGCAGAAAACACATGCAGGTTTATTTTTTCAATGTGTATGTTTCTAATGTTTTGTTTAATTGTAATCTGAGAAGGGCAGATAATCATTACTAACACTATACTGAAATTTCCCCACTGTGGGACGAGTAAAGGATCTCTTAATCTAAATCTTAATCTTTGAATAGAAGGTATGATCATAATCTCCTCACGCCATTGCATATCATTTGGGATTGAAAACTTTGTATAATGTTAAAATGATATTGTATATTATTTTATACATTTAATATTATGCAAACTAAAATGAAAGTATATTCTATGTATTCAGAATATAGAACTCTGTAGGTTGATAAAGTTGTTTTGTCACAGAGTACATAATATCTACTTATGACAAATGTAGTAGTAGTAGTAGCAGCCGCAGCAGCAGCAGCAGCAGTAGTAGTAGCAGTTGTATTAGTTGTAATAGTAGTGGTAGCAAGTTTGGAGTATCATTTCATGTAATCTCCTTGCATACCCCTAGGGGTCAGCGAACCCCCGGTTGGGAATCACTGACTTAAACTGTAAAAAATGAGAATGTTCTGTTGGGTTTAAAAGGGCAAGAAAATGAAGATAAAAAAATAGAGCATGCAGGTCATAAATAGCAGGGTGTTGTGGCAGTAATAGCAGCCGTTTGAGCAGAGAGAAAGAGAAAAAGCCGACAGAGGGCTGATTGAGGACTGAGTGAGACAAAATACGGAGGGGGAATCCGGTGATGCATCAGGCATGCTTTGGCACATCGGTGAGAAAGGCTATTAGGAGCCTGGGCGCAGAGCTCATACACATTCCACAAATAGGACCTCATAAACCACAAGCTGCTGCTGGGTCACATCAGGCCAGGGCAGACATTAACTCTGCGATCAGACAAGACATCAACATGCCGGCATTTATTATTGTCAAGGTGATTTGTACATGTGACTAAAGACTGATATGATGAGCGTGGTCATCAGAGATCTTAAGATTATTAGCTCAATTGTGTTCAATCATGAATTAATTTCTGTTACAGAAGTCTATATCATTTCAGTACAATACCATGCAAAATGATGCACAAGGAGTATCAGTTTGCATTACTGCAAAGAACAGTGTCGCAGTAATGATCAATTCATATTTTCTTGGATATCTTGGTGTATACCCTCAATTGAGCACTATAATACACAACTCCTGTACTAGGCGGTGTAATTCTCTATGTTTGATAGATGCAAATATATTTGCAGGTAAGATACCTGTGGTCTTGTGGCAGAGGTTCTCCGTTCTTCTCCCAGGAGATGAGTGGAGTGGGCCTTCCCTCAATCTGACAATCAAACCGGGCCACTCCTCCGGCAGGAACGGTCTGTGGAGCCGGCTCTTGGTGAAAGCGGGAAAGACCTGATAAAATGCAACAACTTTGCACTAGTACATTTGAGGACTTGAAAAACATGTGACAAGTTTGCAGACCACAACAAGCCACCAGGGGGAAGCACTGAGCACTGACTAAGGGCCCCTGACCCCTTGCCCCTGCAGACTGGTTTGTGGAGCCATTGCCTGCAGCTCTAAAGAGAGTTGGATCAAAGCAGGAGAAACAGCAGACAGGAAATATGGAAATTCCACTGCAATCCTTTACAGTCTGCTTTGTCTTCACTAAAAGCACTAATGGTGCATTCAACAAAAGAACAAATTAAACAAACATAAACAAAAGCAATATACATATGAAATGTTAATCACAACGTAAATTCTTCTACATGTTGGTAAGTACTCAGAACGCATAAAAGTGATTCTCCAGGAAAAGAGTAGACATTCTGTGGACAGCCCCCCTTGCTTTACCCTTTCACCAGCTGTGATGGCAACAACATGAACATCTGTGTTTTCATATTACACTGGAAGAACAATGTGTGTTTAATTGAGAACAAGGAAGTAGACAAATATGTCCAAAGTTTAGAAAAGCAATCAAAATACTCTGCAATATCAAAGTGAACAGCACAGGGACATGGCTTTGAGCCCATGTGGCAGCAGTGACAAGCATGTAAAGTCAGCGCCTACAGTACGGCTCTGGCACCATGCCTGATGGGGCACAAGGCTGACTTTTCACATAGATTAGACTTGGACATTGCTATAGCAGGGGTTTGGAAGGGGTGTGCGGGATGACACTGGCCTCCTACTATGCAGGAATAATGCAGACACCTTTAAGGCCTGTGCCACTTGACTTATTTCCCATGACTCCTCTGTCCTGCTGTGAAACTCATGGATCTGAGCAAATATTCACATGTTGCAATGTTGACATGACCATGTTATGACATACACACTGCTACAAAAAGAGGATGCATTGAGAAATGTGTCATATATGTTGTTTCTTAGCAACAAGGTTTGTATTTAGTTTTATTTTATTTATTTTTTATGTTGAAGATTAAAAGTGTGTGCCGGTGCACGCCTGTCATGAATCTTTAGGTGCTGTCCCTAACTTGACTCTGGCTTTTTCTTTGTCTTTGTCCGTCACTCTATCTATGCCCCATTTTGGCCCCACCACTATCAGATTGCAACTTTTCACCTCCCCTTCTGCAAGCAGATAATTCCACCCGAGACCTCCCAACACAGCTTTCAGCCTACCCCTACACTCAAGTTTCTCCTACTTGGGTCATTAATCTCCTTATATACTTGTTATAATATTGAATATTACCCTTTGCCAGAGTTTTTCCCCCAACAATTAGTGTGAAATAGACAAAGGCCGGAGCCCTGAAACAAATGGAGGACTACTATAATATATTACAGAAAAGAAAAAAATAAAATGAAATGTTTATAAATGTTGTAGTGGGTCACTCGCTATTTGGCCCCGAAAGGGTTGATACTTTTGTAAATACCTTTTTGTCTTTTGCTTTTTGTTCTTCAATACAATATTTTACAAGCCGGGCCACACTTAAAAAAACAGAGAAGTACAAGGCTGCCATAATGTGCAATTGCAGCTAGGATTTCTCATGCTCTTGTTCTGGTAAAGAGGCATTTGAAAAAAAGAATGTGCGTTCAGTGTCAAGTTGAAACAGTTTGGTTTGACCTCATGCGCTTTGGTCGCATCTATCTCCGAGCCTAATGCTGCAGATTGAATTCACCGCACACTACAGAAGCCCCACACTGAAGGTTATTCTCAATAATGTCTCCAGTCTTTCCTTTCAGCACAAAGTCCCTTCACCTTTTTCCTTTCCCACCATTTACCCACTCCTCTTTTCAGCCGCTTATTGTCTCCCCAACAAGAGGTGCTCATAAATAGGCATGTGGCAGCTGACAAAAGACGGGGCTTTCAGACTGGTTCCTGACTCATTGAACACAAAGCTAACGCCTAAATAAAGAGAAAGTGAAGATCCTCTCCTTTCAGACAAGATTTCAATGTACTGTTCATTTCATTTTGAACTCAACTTGACTTACAGAGCCTTTTGGAAACAGCATGGATCATAATTATGCATGTAATTCTTTTCTAAAAACTATGACAAATATGCATTTTCATTCAGAATGCATGTAACATCTTTAAAAACCATATAATTAGCTAAATCTTGTTTTTGCCTCATCCAAACTTGAGGACTTACCTCCACAAAATAGCCTAAACACACATCCACTTTCTGTCTAAGCCTTCTCTCTCACACTTGAAATGATGTATTAAATCTTTTGAGTGTGGGCGTGTTCACCCTTGATATAGAAGACAGGGTTTGGTTCACTACAACAGTCCTGGTCTCGTGGTGAACTGACTCAGGACCACTGCGCACCTGTGTGATGCTTTCACATCCTCAAGCAACAGAGTTTGCTTGAATTATATTGTTTTCCTGTACGTTTTGCTCCTTCTTGAAACAGAATTCTGTACATTGACAAATTGCCAAACCGCCTCATAATTGGAATATCTGGATCATTCCTTGTTCTTAGAACCTCATTTTTCGTTGGTCAGCTGCTGCTTCTCCGTGAAAGAGACTACGGACAAAGAACTAATTGAATTGAGTGTAAAAAGGTTTCTGTTTTATGAACGTTTCTGTTACTCTGTTTCTGATAAATGGATATACTAACTTTTGTGACAGGCCTATTAGAAAATTATGTCTGTATGTATGTATCAACCCTCAGTTTTAATACAAGACACATCACAATCGCCTTGGAGACTTGACCACACCCAGTTAGAGGTAACTGTGTCACTAAACAGAGAAGCACACCTCATATTCATGGGTTATATTAAAGAACTACCTTCAAGTATCAGATATAGGATGTTTTTGACTTGATCATATTGTGGGGGCAGAGAGGTCCAAAAACCTTCAAGTATCGATGGATACCTACTTGCAAGAAGAACTTTGACTGTGCGGCTTATCAGTGCTCCATGTGCACTGGCAGCCACACAGCTGTAGGCGCCCTCCACCGCAGCAGAGGAGGTGGGCAGCAGCAGCAGAGAGCCATTGGGCAGAAGCTGGTGGAACTCTGAGTGCCCGAGAGGCAGAGTGTCCTGGAGCCACGTAATGTTCAGAGAGCTGTCCCTAGAGCCCAGGCTGCAGTCCAGCAGCACACGAACCTCCGGATCAAGCACTACATGACTCGGACCAGCCCCACAGCTCAGCTCCAAGGAAATGAAGTAATCTGCAAACATAATAACAGTTGTAAAAGTCCAATTAACACTTGACTATGTATTATTTATTGTTTATTTGGTTGGGACAGTACATGTTAATGAACACATCACTCTGGATTGTAGCCATGGGCTAATTTGCATCCGTTGTCCCACATTCACACTCACAAACACACACTCATTTACCCTGAACTATTGCACATGTTTTTAGTGGTAGGGGAAACCGGAGTATCCGGAGGAAACCTACGAAGGGAGAACATGCAAACTCCACTCAGAAAGGCCCTGTTCCGACCAGGATTTGAACCCAGAACCTTTTTGCTGAGAGGTGAGAGTGCTATCCACTCAGCCACCATGCCGCCTTTTTGGTCCAAAACTTTGTTACCACCATTCTATAGAGTGTATGCATTCTGTGTGTGTGTGAGTGTAAGTGCGTATTTGATTCTATTTCATTATCTATTATCATAAATAATATATCTTGTTTGATGTGTACATTACATGAGTGCTCTTATTTTCTCATTTTATTCTGCTGTAATGTGAGCAACAACGATTTTAAATGTCCCCACTGGGGGAAGAATATCCATCCATCCATTTTCTTCTGCTTTATCCGTTGCCGGGTCGCGGGGACAGCAGTCTAAGCAGAGACGGCCAGACCCCATGGCGCTCCCAGGCCAGCTGGGAGACATAGTCCCTCCAGCGTGTCCTAGGTCTTCCCCGGGGCCTCCTCCCGGTGGGACGTGCCCGGAACACCTCCCCAGGGAGGCGTCCAGGAGGCATCCGGAACAGATGCCCGAGCCACCTCCACTGGTTCCTCTCGACGTGGAGTAGCAGCGGCTCTACTCCGAGCTCCTCCCGTGTGACTGAGCTCCTCATCCTATCTCTAAGGGAGCGCCCAGCCACTCTGTGGAGGAAGGGTGTTCTTTCGGTCATTACCCAAAGCTCATGACCATAGGTGAGGGAGGGAACAAAGATTGACCGGTAAATCGAGAGCTTTGCCTTTCGGCTCAGCTCCTTCTTTACCACAACGGTCCGATACAGCGACCGCATCACTGAGCACGCTGCACCGATCCGCCTCAATCTCAATCTCACGCTCCATTCTTCCCTCACTCGTGAACAAGACCCCGAGATACTTGAACTCCTCCACTTGAGGAAGGACCTCTCCACCCACTTGTAGAGGGCAAGGCACCTGTTTCCGGGGGAAGAATATTTTCTTTTAATTTTATTTAGTTTTTCCCATTGAGATTAAGAACCTCATTGTCCTCAGAGTCCTGGACAACACACACTACAGCTGCATAGTGTGTGGTGGTATGTGTATCTTATCTTATACATATATACATGCCTACATTACATATATACTGTATGGAAAGAGAGAGAGAATTGCTGTTTGTTGGATACCACCACAAGACTTTCTCCACTGACTCCCACTAATGTCTGCTGTCGGTGTGTCCTTGGGCAAGACACTTTACCTCTGGGAACACCAGCCACAGTGGGGCGGCTGCGGCTGTAAAGTACCAAACTGCTGTTGTGTCCTTAGGCAAGACACCTCACCCCCATTGCCTAGAAAGAGTCTGGTGTGTGTGTGAATGGTTCTAGTTGCCTCGCTTCTGTCAGTGTGCCCCAGGGCAGCTGTGGCTACAGTGGTATTTCATCACCACTGTGTATGGAGTGAATGAATAATGACATATGAAGCGATTGTGTGTCCAAAAAAGCGCTCTTTAAAACCAATGCATCATCATCATCATCATCATCATCATCATCATCACTCAGGATGGAAAGTCACTTTGTCAGATATATACAGAGAGAAAAAAGTGTATGAAAACTTCCTGTTTGCACTGTATCTGTTTGTATATGTAATAGAAGTCTTCTAAAAACTTGATTTCCCGACTCATATTCTTGTTCTGATCACATGGACACACGTTGATCACGCTCAAGGACACAAAAATTATCCTATGAGCGTCCATAAGGAATTTATATGGTCTTTTCTCTTTCTATAAACTTGCCTTTGAGAAGATAATTCCATACATATTGTCACAATTGGCAAGACCCAACCAAATTTATCAAAATGAACAGAATCATTTGTCATTTTTGGCTCTACATCTTCCCTTTGTCTTAATTTCCACAGTAGAAGAAGCAGCGGGCAGAGGAGATTGATAGATGCAGTAGCCAAAGGGTCTAGTGGGGAAAGAGGAGCTCTTCAAATGAATAGGTTGAAGCAGTTTGCAGGGATTTGTGTGTCAGCAGCAGGGTGTTATACTGTCCAGGAGTGAGAAAGCTCCGTTGAGATCTGCCCATCCCGTCTCACTACTGCTGCTTCCTTTATCATTATCTTGACATTTAATAAATTAAATACATCATGAAATACGAATACAACACATTTTATTTTTACTGGGCTATTTTAAAACCATCAAGAGCGCACAGGTCTTGCTCTGCGTGTATATGAATGGTGTATGAGCGTAAGCGTTTGGTTCGCTCCGTTCACACCGCAAAAATGTGCTGCCGGAATGTTTTATAAGCATATTCAAAAAACATCAGCGCATGACTTTAGTGAAATCCACACCCTGACCAGCGTTTTTCACAGGCGCCGGGGATGTGGTGGGCGAGCTCTTCCTTACTTTATTACACTCGCCACCTGTCATGCAGTTATAACCTCTCATCCTCCTCCAACATGCTGCTGTTTCATTCAGTCATGGCAGAGTGTGACTTTTCCTCCTTGTTCAGTCCTGGTCTAGTCCTGGTTTAGCTTCTGGATAAAGTTTTCTCTGTATTCAAGTGTTTCCACCTCTTCCTTTAACCGGCCTTTGACCTGTATCAGTGGTGCTGCTCAGTGATTTTACACAGAAGCCTCATTTCCCCTCACCCGTTGTGTGTTGCAGAGAGACATGCATAAGTTTCTTGCATTTTGTAAGACTCATTCCTCTTTATTCATCTCAAATTCAGTCTGGTAGGCTACCTGCTGCAGCTCATCCAGGCTGGCCTCTTTCACTCTCAACCAATCACACAGTGCTGCTAACCTACGCCTGCTAATCCAGCTGTTTAAAAGTGGAAACCCTTTTCCAGCCTCACAAGGAGTTCGTTCTGGGGCCGCTCTCCTCTACTCGTCCCTTGCAATTACCACCTCCCCACCTCCTTCTCCACCTTCAAGCACACGCTCTCACCAAATCTTCACCCTTAAACACCATCAGTACCTAGGCCTAATACCACCACAAGTACCTAGGTTCCGGGGGATTACAAACTGCACAGAAGAAATGATCATCACAGAAATTAATACATAATTTAATGAAAATGTGTGTCTGTGTAGTCTCTCCAGATTGAATAACCTATTAATACTAATCATTATTACTTTCAGTCGACTTTGGATTTGCCATGCATGTTTATGCCACACATCTATACACAAGTGTGCCAGAAACTGATTTTCTGATCTTTGCATAAAACATGACCAGTATACGGTAACATGCTGTCACGCTGCTGCTTTACCGTTGCTTTGAAATGAACACAACGAGTAAAACACAATGTTGAAATGAGCATTGTCCACAGCCTGAGCAGACTGTTGCATGTCCTCATGAGGACAGTGCACGGCAGGGGGCTGAGGCAGCAGTGGAGGGAACATTTCACCATGTAATGTGTGAGGGAGCTGGAGGGGAAAGGCTAGAGAGGGATGCTGAATGGATTGCCTCGGCACCGTTCCAGGAGATTCATGGCTCGCGCAAATATGACACAGGTTTACAATGAGAGTCACAGGGCTCTCTGATGTCTTTTCAAATTATTTGTCAGGTTTATCACTAACTACTTTTGAATGCACTAGAAATGGCAGTGAGTCCTGAGTAGCTCTGTGATTTATAATTGTCTTCCTTCTTTCTACCTGAGATGTTGCTGCAGTACAGTGTTCATGGTTTTAGCGGAAAGGATTCATGGTCTGAAACAAGCGGATCAGGCAAAATAACACTGGAGGAATGCTAACTTTTTGAAAAATGCTAACAAAGCGTTCAGCGTTTTACTTTGGACTAGAGCTGCTACACTAGGCGGCTTCTCCACCTCTGCTGTTGTGACCCGTCCTGCTCCACACAGAGGCTACGCCACCTCTGCTGCTGTGACCCGTCCTGCTCCACCCAGCGGATGGTGTTCAAATGATCAATTTCTTTGTTTTGTTTGTGTTGATGGATGTGGTTTTACTGCTACTGGACACCTGATTTTTTTTCTACGGGGATCAATAAAGCATATATCTATCTATATACCTCTCTATCTCTCTGTCTATCGATCTATCTATCCTTCTAACGTTAAAAATAAAAAGTGAGAGTTTGTTTTGTACATGATAGATAAGCAATGAGCTCTATTTCAAATGAGTCTGACATAGATATCCCTGATTTCACATCCTTTTGAACTGTAACACACAGCAGATGTTGGTAATCAGAATGACACACAAGTCAGACTCACTCTAGCTTTCTGTCTCGTTCCGACAGCGAGCCATTGTGAAAGAGCCCATGTTCCTTGGTGCCTCTTATGCCACATTGTTTTGGACGAATTATGCAAACTATTCAAAGACTGGCTTTGTCTGATAACAACAATAAATAATCTCCTGTCACTAAACATTGGTCATAATGAATACTCATGTTATCATTTACTAATATTTCAAACCTGTTTACACACACACAAAGACAGGATACAAAATAAAAATGTAGTTGAAAATACACACACAAACACACACACACACACACACGCACACACACACTCTTCTTTTCTTATATGCACTTATTCAGCTTTAGAAAATGAATCAGGTATGAATATTGTTTTTTGTTCTTCCGACTTACACCTCGCACTGAGATACACATTTATTTTTAAGCAGATCTTCATTTAGACACTTTTTTGCTTTCTCTTCAGATGCCTTACGTTATTTGAGCAGTTTCAAAGTGAATCAAAAACTTTGCAAAGTAATTAAAGGTGTATAAGAGCTGCCCCACAATAATTTAAATACAACATTATAAATGAACAGTAAAAAGACAAGGAGCAAGAGCATGTCATA